TTCATATGGTTGAAGTTAAATAACAGTAACATTCAGAACCAAATTCATTGCCAAAGGGGCTATACAGTATAAGACTTCGGCTCACTTTCTCCCTATCCTATGTGTCCCACAGAAATAAGAAATTAAAGAATTCAAGATAATAAGGCTTCCTTTTCTTCTAAAATTAGAAAAAAAGTAATAGCAACTATACCAAAAACTATTACAAAAACCTCTTAGTGGATCAAGGGCCTAGAGAAAGGATATTCTTTGTTAATACTGTTTAAAAAAACAAAAAATAAGTACTATATCTACCATAAGTACAGAGAAAAAAACACTGCCACAAATTTAATATCAAATTAATTAACTTTGAAACTAATGCTATGGTTTGAATGTTTCTTAAAAAAATAATAAGGTGAGAACATTATCTCGTTCAACCTCTGTAAACAGTACCAAAAATCCTCATTAAAAAAAGTAAGTAAGAACGAAACTCCCCAACAATCAGTAAATTCTACCTTTGGGCTTCTACTCTCAAAAACATTAGTCAAAAAAGACATATATTCACCATGTTCCTAGTGGTACTTAATACTATAATGCCCAGGATATAGAAACACAAACGTACAACAACAGACCAGTAGATAAAGAAGCTGTGGTATACATACACAATGAAATGCTATGCAGTTACAAGAAAGGATGTAATCATCGGTTTTGCTACAACACATATGGAATTAGAGGGTGTCACATTGAGCAAAATAAGTCAGAGGGAAAAGGACAAAACCAGATGATCTGAAAAACAAGACAAGAGAATAAACAGTTTAAAAATGACAATCCCTTGACTTTGGACTCCAAAACTTGAACACACAGTGGGGAGGAATGAAGAGGAGACCAGAGATGACAGGGACAGCGATGGAATGTCACTTTGGTGGTGAGAGCGTGAAGTAACTTTGTACGTCAATATCAAAAATTCTAACAGTATTATAACCTGCTTACTTAAACTAGAATAAAGGCGGAGAAATAGTGAGCAGGTAAAGTGTTTTCCTTGCATGCAACCTAACAGTCCCTGAGTACCACCGGGAGTGATCCTTCAGCACAGAACCAGGAGTAAGTCCTCGGTACTGCTGACAGTGGCCCTAACACAAAAGACAACAACAATAAAACCTAGAATAAAAAAACAAAGTAAAATAAAGATAAACTGAACTCCTTATTCTAACTGCTTCAGAATGTTACCTTATTTTGAAATGTATTCTTTACAGAGGTAAGGAAGTTAATACAATGACATTAAAGTTACCCCTAATTCATACAACTAGTGCCCTTATCAAAAGAAAAAATGGGGACTAGGGCAGAGAACTAGTACAGGTTGTTAAGGCACCTTCCCTCTACATTACCACCCCTGGTTTGCCACCTAGCACTTCAGATGGTCCCCCAACCACTGCCAGAAGTGATCCCTTAACACAGAGACAGAAGTAAGTCCTGTGCTTACTCAGATGTGACTCATACTCTCATTACCACCTGAATAGAAGAGTGAGATAAAAGCTTGACCCTAGAGACATACACACAAGAAGAGCATCACTAGAAAGACTAAGGTAGGTGTGAGACATCAGACTGATATGTCTATAATCCAGGAGTTCCAAAGACTGCCAGCACGCCACAGAAGCTAGGAGAGAGACAGAACAGGTTCCTCCTAACAGAACCAACCCTCATAAGAAACCATGTAGGCCAACATCTTAATCTTAGATCTAGCCTCTAATTTATGTCTATTTTGAGACATAAATTAGTATTGTTGAAGTCATCCATCCTTTGGTACCTGGCTTTGGTAGCCCTAGCAAACTAATATCATAAAAGTCAATAACAAAATCCAAATTGTAAATCAGCAAATTTATGTAAAACGTTCTCAAAACAAAAATCCGTGGGATCACTACAAATACCGCACAGCTTTATTGCAGCATAATAATAGCAGCTCTTGGGGAAGATGCTAAAGGTAATATTTAAAGATGGACTCATCAATGCAGAAATTTATGAGAGATCGGGGAGTGCTGGAACAGAACTTCCAACATTTAACAGGGTTTTTTAATGATGCAGTGCTTCAGGAGACATTTCCAAACAACTCTGGAGTCTCTAGATGGCACATAACTTGTTTGGTCTGACCTTGCCCCTTAAAACAAGCAAGTACAAGCAACCTGTCATCTCCTTAAGCAGGTGAGTGGACAACGGTTTTCATCTCCAGCTGGAGGAAATTAAATACACTAGTAAGCTTGAGACTGCTTGAGAATTGCTGACAAGATGCATTTAGACCTTCTGTGGCAAAAAAAAAAGTATTAACTGTCAAGAACTTTCCTTCTCAAAGACTGTAAACACTTAGACAGTGTCTTTATTCAGACATAATAAATGAGGAATTTTTCAACTACCTGAAGGATTTTAACATAAATCTTCAAGTAAAACATTTCACAGAGTTATTACCTTACATCTGGAAATCAGCAGAGCACATCTTAGGAGAGAGGGGACTTCAAAGTGATTGGTTCGTTTCCTTATAATGAAACAGCATGTTTGCTTCTGTTTGATTCACAATTAAAACAAGTCAGAGCATATGTGAAAACCATCTGGAATATTCAACAAGGACCAAGTCTTTTCCAGAAAGGCCTTATACTGTGGAAACAGTATAATGTGATAATGCTCAGGAAAAGAGTGGCTTCAACCCACACAGACACAGAATGAAAAAGATTTGCCACTATTTTGTACAGATTCAAACAAAGTTAAAACTCTCTAGGTTCCAAGATTCTTGGTCCAACGGAGATGATGATAGCAGAGTTTACTGAGGGCTAGGGAATACAGCTCAATGGTAAAGTGTCTGCCTTGTTTGCATTAAGACCAGGGTTTGACCCCTGACACAGCATAAACAACAAAATAATAGAACCAATCTACAGAGAGTGGCGAAGAGTAAAAGAGACAAGTGTATCAAACTTTATGTAAAATAATAGCTTAATCCAGTGTATTTTAACATTATTAACATTAGATGTACAAGCAGTTTTTAAACAGCAGAGTAGAATTTTCCTTTAGGAAAGAATATAAGATCTTGGGATACAAACCAACTGTAACTTGGGATAAAACACTGCCAAAATTAGTAAAACCAATCTCTGCATTTCTTATCCTGTATGTATGTTTAGAAGACATCACCAAAGCTGTTTCTAAACTTTTGATGGAAAACTCCTTTAAAAAAGGACAGGAGGAGAGTTTCTATACTTCACTCCACATGGTGGGGAGGGTAACTACAAGTGGTGGGAAGGTGTTATGATGGTGGGATTGGTGTTGGAATACTGAACATGTAAATTACTGTGAACTATTTTATTAAAATGTTTTAAAAATAAGAGAAAAAATGATAAATAAATAAATTAGTAAAACCATTTAGACCATTTCTATGACAATCAATAGTGCTCAAGCAATAAAGATAAATAATGAATATCATGGTCACAGTCCTCCCATTGTTCATCGATTTGCTCGAGCGGGCCCAGTAACGTCTCCACTGTGACCACTATTACTGTGTTTGGCATATTGAATATGTCACAGGTAGCTTGCCAGGCTTTGCCGTGCGGGCGAGATACTCTCAGTAGCTTGCCAGGCTCTCCGAGAGGGGCGGAGGAATCGAACTCGGGTCGGCCATGTTGACCGCTTCCAAGGCAAACGCCCTACCGCTGTGCTATCGCTCCAGCCCAAATAATCAATAGACCACTAGATTTTGTGTTGCTTTTATTATCTATCACATTTATTTTTCATTCATATTTTTCAGAGACCAGTTTTGAAAAACTATCTATGATCTCAAAAAAAAATTTAATAGTACCATTTTTTATTTACAAGCATAGCAACATTTCCTTAGTAACCTGGTTTCCTCTATTAGGAATAATGAATCCTTTACCTTCCAAATTAAAAAAAATGAATAAAAATGAATATCAGAAAAGTCAATGACTACCTGCATCAACACACAGTCCAAGTTTACATCAACACACAGTCCAAGTTTGAATTATACACTTTTAAAATTTTTTTTTCTTTGTGTTCACACTTGTGATGTTCAAAAGTCACTCCTGGCTCTGAACTCAAGAATCACTCCTGGCAATGGTTGGGGAACCATATGGGATGCCGGAGATTGAACCTGGGTCGGCTGTGTGCAAGGAAAATGCCCACCCACTGTAATATCGCTCCAGCCCTTCAATACTTTGAATGAACTCACAGCATATGATTACCTTCAATATCTTTTGGGAAAGGGGCGTACCCAGTGATGGTCAGGGCCTGCTCCTGGCTCTGTTTGCAGAGCTCACACCTGGTAAGCTTGGGGACCATGTGGGGAGCAAGGATAAAACCTGGGTTGGCCATGTGCAAGACAACTTGCTGTTTTATTTCAGTGTAAAATATGTTTTATTCCAATGCTATATCCACTTTACGAAAACTCTACCTTCTATCCTCTGTATCTTTAAATGCTGCAGTGATCATAGGGGTATGTATGGGGGTCTGTATGTATAGGGGTCTGTCTTCTCAGTGTGGAAATAATATACCACAGGTATGAAGACAGGTAGGAAGAAGAGTTTCAGTCTTTTTTCTTTTAACTTCTGAAAGATGATGAACAGTTCAATTTTAAAAGATGTCATGAATAGCCAATAGTCACTAGTTAATAGCGTGGAAATGAAGTCTCATGTGAGGAGCCCAATTCCAGTGAGAGAAAGAGAAAGCATATCAGGGGAGGGTGTAGAAGAGAAACAATAAAGTTGAACAATCACCTGTTAGTAGGGAAAAACAATTCTACCAAATTCAACACTCATTAAAAAGCAACAAAAAAACTAAGGTGGTGCAAGCTATTGTATACTGATTATGAATTACTTAAATAGACTGCTAAAAATCATGTAAAGAATAGGAACTGGTGGTAGAATTATGTGCATAAGAAACAATTATTAATGTATACACCACAAAATTTATTTATTTTTAAAATAAAATAACAGGTACATTTTATTTGTCAAATACTGAGAAACTAATGAACTTACTTGCTTTTCCCTTTGTATACTGTAGCATAAGATCCTTCCCCTAGTTTTTCCAGTTTTTCATATGAGTCAGCTTTTCCAAATTTGGGACTTGTTGGCTAAAAATGAAGCAGAGGAAAACAAAACAGGTTGTATCAAAGTCATCAACACTAAATACCCCATTTTGTTGAAAACACACAGATTCCCTATCATTTCTAAATAACTTTTTCTGACATAAAATTATTATACCAATTGAGTTACAAAAGTTAGAAAAACAAATGAACACAGTGTATGAATTTAAATTAATCTATAATCTAACTGCCAAGAGTGAACTTCTGTTAACATATTGACATTTATAGGGCCAGAGTGCAAGTACAGTGGATAAGGCACTTGCCTTGCATGCAGCCAGCCTGGGTTTATTCTGCAATGCCTCGTGGTTCTCAGAACTTGCCAGAAGTGATCCTTGAGCACAGAGCCAGGAGTAAGCCATGAGGGCAGTCAAGTGTGGCCCCAAAACCAATATATATCCTCTCAGAGTACTACTACTAATGATTGTTTTTAGATATAAATAAAATTAAAATTATTCTACAATGCTTTGTACCTTGACTTTTTTGTTGTTTACTTAATATTGAATGAATACTATCTATATTGTTATTAAATCTTGCAATTTAAGGTCTAGCAAACATTGGTGGTGCATGGACTAAATCTGCCTTCTCCCTATTTCTGCATATCCCATAAGTTGACTTTTGGAGAAAAATAGAGGATTTGGGCCACACTAGTGGTACTCAGGGGCTACTTCTAGCTCTGCTCAGAGGTGGTGCTTGGGATATAATACTGTGTTGGAAATGGAACTGGAATTGGTCACAGGAAAGGCAAGTGTCTTAACCCCTATATTATCTCTTTGACCTCTAGGTCTATTGTTTATTGGTGCTGGGAGACACACAAAAGTTTTTTGAGGGGGTTAGCAGGTGATCATTGCTGTGCCAGGGACAAAATTCCAACATCACACATGCAAACCATGCACTCTGGAAATCTGAGCTATATCCCAGGTACCAGATTTTACTTTTTGTTGGGGGAAAAAGAAGGGTGAATACACCAGAAGAAAAATTAAAAATTTCATAGTATGTAAAAATTACATTAAGATGACCTTAAAGCTTTATTAGAACACAGTTAGACTCAACAAGAGTTGCAGCTTAAACAGAGAATATATGCCTTCCAAAACTAGAAAACTAGCAGGGTCAAATAGAAAATGTTTACTATTTGACCCTGCTGTAAATCAGTGTGATTTTTACAATATTCAGCCATGCCAAGAAACTCTTATAATACTTTTCAGTGATAATGCAAACAGATAGCAAAAAAATGTTTTATCCCAATGTTAGAAATTGAAACATAATAAAACTCAAGGAGCTAGAGAGATACTACAGAGATAATACAGTGGTTAAGGATAGTATAATCAAACAGGTTAAGGATAGTATACTCAAAACAGTAGTGGAGGGATGTTGATACTCTTGTTGATGTTGATGGTTGGAGTGGTCTGGCAACACTGTATTCTGGAAACATTAATATTAGCAGCATTGGAAATCAGTGTGACTACATTTCAAAATAAAAGAAAAGGCTACTAATAGTGATAATCCATAAGTAACCAACTTAATGAAAGACTATCAGAAAGTTTACAGAATACTACACTTGGATTTGTGTCCTTCTACCACTCATTAAAAAAATCTCTACATACCAGCAATGAAGCTGACTCACATTGAATATAAGTTTTTATGTGGCAAGTTGAACATATGCTCTGTGCCTTCTTTTCACCCAAAGTGTCACAGAGTTAGAAAAAGACATTTTTCAAAACTTAATATTTTTCAATATTTTTTTCAAGGCATTTGTGGCTCCGCGACATCTTATCATCCCATTCCTACTTTAGACAAACTGGCAGGCTACGGAATGTAACCTGCTCACACGGCAGAGTCTGGCAAACTCCCCGTGGCGTACCCAATATGCCAAATACCAGTAACAATGAAGGGTCTCATTCTCCTAACTCTGAAAGACCCTTGAATATGGCACTTTCTAAAAAAAATCTGAGGGCTAGTACAAAGAGACATTACAGGGGCCTGCTTGAGGCAATCGATGAATAACAGGATGGTTGTGATTGTGATTGTGAATATTTTTCAAGAATGGGAAACAAAGAATTGCTAATTCCCAATCAAATTGTTGAGGTTTTTTCGGCAGGGCCTGGCAAGCCACCTATGAAGTATTCGATATGCCAGACACAGTAACAACAAAGTCTCCAATGGAGACGTTACTGGGCCCGCTTGAGCAAATCGATGATCAACGGGAGGGCCTTTATTTTACTTTACTTACTTTTTTGAAAAATAGACAGTAATCAGGATCAAAATTTAAGGAAAATAATTGGGGAAACCTAAAATCTCAAAATATTAGATTATTATGGCTAGAAAGAAGCAAAATTCTCTAGGTATATATGAAACTATATATATATAAATATATATATATATATAAATCCAATCAGGGCGTACAAACTCAATACATCAGGATCCTTCGTGAGCTCTATTGCGGATTCACTACCAAGATCTCACCATTCTACAAAGAAGTAATCATTCATATCAAGAGAGGGGTTCGGCAGGGTGATACCATTTCACCAAAACTCTTCAGTGCCACCCTCGAGAACATCATGCGATGACTAGAATGGGAAAACATGGGAGTGAAGATAGATGGTCGGCAACTACACCACCTCCGCTTTGCTGATGACATCATTCTAATAACACCAAACATCAGCCAAGCGGCACAAATGCTTGCGGACTTTGACCGTGAGTGTGGAAAGGTCGGACTACAGCTGAATCTTACGAAGACAATGTTTATGAGAAACAGCCTTGTTCCTGACGCTCCATTCGCTCTCAACGGAACCACCATCTCCGAATGCAACAGTTATATATACTTAGGTCGAGAAATCAACATGATGAATGACCTGGCACCTGAGTTACGCAGGAGGAAGAGAGCGGCTTGGAATGCCTTCAAGAGCATTGAAGAAATAACTAAAAGGACAAAGAACCTCCAGCTACGAGCACATCTCTTTGATTCCACTATTCTTCCTGCATTAACATATGCCTCAGAGACCTGGACCCTACGAAAACAGGATGAGAACACTATTCGGGTCTCTCAAAGAGGAATCGAAAGAACTATGCTTGGAATATCACGATTCACTCAAATGAGAGATAGAATCCGGAGTTCTGATCTTCGTCAACGCTCAAGAATCAGGGACGCTGTCTCATTTGCCAAGACATCAAAAATCAGATGGGCTGGACATTTAATGAGGTTTACAGACAACCGCTGGACTAGAGCCATTACTGATTGGATTCCACGAGACATCAAAAGATCACGTGGACGCCCACCTATAAGATGGTCAGACTTCTTCGTCAAGACCCTAAATGATCGGTTTGAGGCTCTACATGTTCCTAAAACGAACAGATACCATTGGGCTACGCTAGCACGCAACTGGGATGAATGGAGACGTTACTGGCACCCGCTCGAATAAATCGATGAATAATGGGGATTAAGTGATTAAGTGATTAAGTGATATATGAAACTGTTCATAGCAGACAAGGTAGAATACTCCTAAACAGACTACAAAAGCATCTGCAGAGAGATGACAGCTGAAAACAGAGGTATTCAAGCCCAAAACATAAATCAAGGACTGTAGTAGGCAACAGCCAGAAGAAGGAAAATATCCACCCACCCCCATGCTGCAATCTTTGCCTCTCACACCCACTAAAGTTTACAGAAAACAGAATAAGCTAGGAGCAGATCAGCTATCATATACAAACAGACAAAAAAAATGAGTATATAATCAAAATTTATAAGTCATTTAAAGAAAATCAGCATTCTGAAAGATAATCAACAAATTCAATAGATATGTAAGTTAAAACACTTAGGAAAAAAATAGTTGACACTGCAAAGGTAGAAACAACTTTGAATGAAAATAACCATTAACTTCATGAGGATTTAGGAAAATATTACTGCTTATAAAAAGAAACAATTAGAGAGCTTAGATGTTAAATATTTAATCAGGGAGATTAAGAAAATGATGGGCACTGAGTATAAAAATGGGACAAAAGTGAAAAAGAAAAAAATTAATGTCTAAGCAGAATTCTCTTATTTTTTAATTTTCTTATTGCTCAGGAAAGGATGCACCTAAATAGAAATATTAAAAGGGAAATATTTTTACAGAAAACAATGGTTATAAATGATCACTCTGGACAAGAATTGAGTGTTGAAAGCAGGTAAAGGGATATACATGATAACCTTCAGCATCTGTATTGCACACCATAATGCCTAAAATGAAAGAGAGAGAAAAGAGAGGTATCTGCCATAGAGGCAGGCTGGGGTTGGAGAGATGGCTTTAAGGGGTGGGAGGGAAGCCGGGAACAGTAGTGCTGGGAAATTACACTAGTGGAGGGATGGGTGTTGGAATATTGTATGACTGAAATGCAATAATGAACAATTTTGCAATGCTCTATCTCATGGTGATTTCAATTTAAAAAATTTAAAATTAAAAAGAATATTCAAACAATATTTCTAAATAAAGAGAAAAATTATTTCAAATCATTAATACTATAGTCAATATCAATGTTCAAGAGCAATAGAAAAGCTTCTATTTTATTAACCACAACAAAAATTCTGTATATCAAATGCCATTTTATCTCAATAGTTGACGTGGCTATTTCTTCGACGTTCTTGAAGGCGTTCAAGCCGCTCTCTTCCTCCTGCGCAGCTCAGGTGCCAGGTCATTTGTCATGTTGACTTCTCGACCTAGGTACACATAGCTGTTGCATTCGGAGATGGTCGTTCTGTTGAGAGCGAATGGGGCAACAGGAACGAGGCTGTTTCTCATAAACATTGTCTTCGTAAGATTCAGCTGTAGTCCTACCTTTCCACACTCACGGTCAAAGTCGGCCAGCATTTGTGCTTCTCGGCAGATGTTTGGTGTTATTAAAACAATGTCATCAGCAAAGCGGAGGTGGTGTAATTGCCGACCATCTATCTTCACTCCCATTCCTTCCCATTCCAGTCGTCGCATGATGTTCTCGAGGGTGGCACTGAAGAGTTT